TTATACTATAGATATAAATAAACATAGATAGATAGATAGATAGATAGATAGATAGATAGATAGATATGAACAGACTGATAGATAGATAGATAGATAGATATGAACAGACTGATCGATAGATAGAGAGATAGATATGAACAAAATTAGGCAGAAAGATCTAAATACACTTAGATTGATTGATACATACATAGATATGTATATAGATAGATAGATAATTGGTAGATAGATAGATATGAATATACTATGCTAGATAGATATGAATATACTGAGATAGATAGATAGATAGAAAGAAAGATTCGGTATGAAAAGACAGTTGAATAGACTCAGATAGATAGATAGATAGATAGATAGAACGACGAAATTATTCGTACACACATCAGTTTTGAATATTCTTATCCATTTTTCACAATCTCATGCCCGTATGATACCAAAAAAGGAATATAAATTTCAATTTTCAGACAGATAGATAGATAGATATGAGTATACTGAGATAAGGAGATAGATTTGTACAGACCAGATAGATAGACAGATCAATCGATAGATAGATAGACAGACAGACGGGCAGATTAGATATGAAAAGACAGACTTGAACAGACTTAGATAGATAGATAGATAGATAGATAGATAGATAGATATGGATAGAATTAGAAAGATCTGAATAAACTTGAAGTCAACGACATTCTTCCTTTGAATATTTTTATCCATTTCTCAGCATCTAATGCCCGTATGATGTCAGGTATTTAATATGTTAATAAAGACAAAAAATGGAATATAAAATTCAATTCTTAGAAGAATATGTTAAGTACAACAAATTTGACAAGCGAATTATTCAAAAGAAGAAAAGACAAAATTATTCGAACAGTATGGAATATAGAATAAACTGAACAATATTCACAATATTAATATTAATGAAATCTCATCTTTATAACTTGCTGCAATCGTTTTCTAAATTTTTTTGATGTGATTTGAACAAGTCTTTTCTGGGCTTTTCTTCTATTTCAATGGTTACATATTCTAATTCCTGAAAGTTTTTTGATGACCGAAGATTTATCCAGACTTTAATTCTTGCCATAGATTTTCAATAGGATTCAAATCAGAACTCATTGTAATCTTTTTCTGAAGCTACGCAGTCACTGATTTAGACGTATGTAGTGATCATTATCTTGCTGGAAAGCGAATTGCTGAACTAGATGAAGATTTTGCGCTGATAGTTGTTGATTTTCATCCAGAAGTTTCATATAGTCTGGAGATGTCGTTATTCATATAATTGGAATTAATTGGCATGTCTCCCTTGAGCTAAAACAACCCCAAAACATCATCGAGCCGCTTTCATGTTTTAATGTTGTCACTGTGTTCTTCGGGAGGAAAGCCTCATATTTCTTGTGCAAAATCTTTTGTATATCATTATGTCAAAAACAAAAACTCGATTTTTGTTTCATCACTCCATAGTACTTGTTCTCAAATATTAATTTTCTTTGTTCAAGTATATCTTGGTAAAATTAAACCGAGCAACAATGTGTCATGGTTTGTGAAGAGGGATTCGTCGGTTACCAAACAACACATTGCTATTTAAACAACGTCGTATTGTGCGAATACTTACGCTAATTCCCATCGTATCCAAACTTTTGGCGATGTCTTTCAAAACAATTCTTGGGATTATATTAACTTCGCGACCCAGTTTTCGTGCACTTCCCAGTGACGATTTGAGTTTTCTTCCACGCTCAGGCAAATTCTCTGTCTTGCCATACTGTTTAATCTTCTTCATGACAGACTGTACCGTAGATCAAGGTATACCTAACCGGCTTGAAATTGTGCTATAACTATTTCCCGACTTGTGGAAATTACCAATTCACTATCTGATGTCAACACTAATCTCCTTTGTCTTCCCCATTGTGTTGTTAACGTAAGAATAACAATGGCGACACTCTATGCACCACGTGATGTCCTTTGCTGGAATTATCACAAATATTTTACTGAATAAATTGTCTAGAAGGCTTCACCGATAAAATAATTATGTAAATTACTTACACGAATCAATCAATTTAAAACGATATTTTCTACTGTACGAATGATTTTGTCTTTTCCTGTTTTGCATAATTCGCCTGTCAAATTGTTGTATTTGACCTATTGTTCAGAAGAGTGAAATACACAAATACACAGATATGAATAGAATTAGACAAATATCTGAATAGCCTTAGATTGAAAGATACATACATAGATATAAATAGAGCATAGAAAAAGATAGATAGCAATAGACATAGATAGATAGATAGATAGATAGAGAGATAGATATGAACAGAGATAAAAAGACATGAACGTATTAAAGACAGATAGATAGATAGATAGATATGAATAGAATTAGATATAAAGATCTGACAGCTTTTAATAGTCTTAGATAGATAGATAGATAGATAGATAGATAGATATGAAAAAACAGCTTTTAATAGTCTTAGATAGATAGATAGATAGATAGATAGATAGATATGAAAAGCCAGCTTTTAATAGTCTTAGATAGATAGATAGATAGATAGATAGATATGAAAAGCCAGCTTCTAATAGTCTTAGATAGATAGATAGATAGATATGAAAAGTCAGATTTTAATAGTCTTAGATAGATAGATAGATAGATATGAAAAGCCAGCTTTTAATAGTCTTAGATAGATAGATAGATAGATAGATAGATAGATATGAAAAGTCAGATTTTAATAGTCTTAGATAGATAGATAGATATGAAAAGACAGCTTTTAATAGTCTTAGATAGATAGATAGATAGATAGATAGATAGATAGATAGATAGATATGAAAAGCCAGCTTTTAATAGTCTTAGATAGATAGATAGATAGATAGATAGATAGATAGATATGAAAAGTCAGATTTTAATAGTCTTAGATAGATAGATAGATAGATATGAAAAGCAAGCTTTTAATAGTCTTAGATAGATAGATAGATAGATATGAAAAGCCAGCTTTTAATAGTCTTAGATAGATAGATAGATAGATAGATAGATATGAAAAGCCAGCTTTTAATAGTCTTAGATAGATAGATAGATAGATAGATATGAAAAGTCAGATTTTAATAGTCTTAGATAGATAGATAGATAGATATGAAAAGTCAGATTTTAATAGTCTTAGATAGATAGATAGATAGATATGAAAAGCCAGCTTTTAATAGTCTTAGATAGATAGATAGATAGATAGATAGATAGATAGATATGAAAAGACAGCTTTTAATAGTCTTAGATAGATAGATAGATAGATAGATAGATATGAAAAGTCAGATTTTAATAGTCTTAGATAGATAGATAGATAGATAGATAGATAGATATGAAAAGTCAGATTTTAATAGTCTTAGATAGATAGATAGATAGATATGAAAAGTCAGATTTTAATAGTCTTAGATAGATAGATAGATAGATAGATATGAAAAGTCAGATTTTAATAGTCTTAGATAGATAGATAGATAGATATGAAAAGCCAGCTTTTAATAGTCTTAGATAGATAGATAGATAGATATGAAAAGTCAGATTTTAATAGTCTTAGATAGATAGATAGATATGAAAAGCCAGCTTTTAATAGTCTTAGATAGATAGATAGATAGATAGATAGATATGAAAAGTCAGATTTTAATAGTCTTAGATAGATAGATAGATATGAAAAGTCACATTTTAATAGTCTTAGATAGATAGATGAATGATATGAAAAGCCAGCTTTTTAATAGTCTTAGATAGATAGATAGATATGAAAAAGACAGCTTTAATAGTCTTAGATAGATAGATAGATAGATAGATAGAATGATATGAAAAGTCAGATTTTAATAGTCTTAGATAGATAGATAGATAGATAGATAGATATGAAAAGTCAGATTTTAATAGTCTTAGATAGATAGATAGATAGATAGATATGAAAAGCCAGCTTTTAATAGTCTTAGATAGATAGATAGATAGATAGATAGATAGATATGAAAAGTCAGATTTTAATAGTCTTAGATAGATAGATAGATAGATAGATAGATATGAAAAGCCAGCTTTTAATAGTCTTAGATAGATAGATAGATAGATAGATATGAAAAGCCAGCTTTTAATAGTCTTAGATAGATAGATAGATAGATAGATATGAAAAGCCAGCTTTTAATAGTCTTAGAGAGATAGATAGATAGATAGATATGAAAAGCCAGCTTTTAATAGTCTTAGATAGATAGATAGATAGATAGATAGATAGATAGATAGATAGATATGAAAAGTCAGATTTTAATAGTCTTAGATAGATAGATAGATAGATATGAAAAGACAGCTTTTAATAGTCTTAGATAGATAGATAGATAGATAGATTTATAGATAGATAGATAGATAGATAGATAGATAGATATGTAAAGACAGCTTTTAATAGTCTTAGATAGATAGATAGATAGATAGATAGATAGATAGATAGATAGATCATGGAGACTGCAAAGGAATATCTTTTATAGATCAGTTTATCGTTCATATTATATCCCAGATAAAACGTCCTGCTTAACATGACAAAGGCTCGAAATATTGTGTGTTATTTTTATTTATTTATTCTTTGTAATGGACGCCGATTGCAATCCTAGGTCAACATTTCCAAAACCAAAATCCGACAATATTTTGCGATAGTGTTTGCAGGGAAACAATCAAAGAATAAATCTCATTTGTCTGATTGATTTTCCGCATCTCTTTATTTATCCTGATTGTTGTTTGCTCGACGTCACAAAGGAAAATATTGAAGAGAGAAATTAAATTTATTTTTCTTCGTTAGAAAAGTACCCGTCACTTATAGCGACATAATTTACGAGAGGATCATTACTTTCTGCCGTTTATGTGCACTCATGCCGTCAACATGCCCGCTCAGCGTCCCTCTACTTAGGATCAGTTTAGTACCTGTGCTCCCTGTTTAGAATAAAATGGTCTCGCTCTAGACTTTTGCGAAGATTCGCTGTAACATCTCTGCGCATCTGTTAATTCTTTCCTTGTTGAAATCTATGAATTCAGTTTTAGAGGCATGTACATAGCATCTATTATCGTTGGCTGCACTTTTCTAGATGATGTAGAAGGACTGTGGCGTTAGTAAAGGGACCTTCAACGTGATGTAATGGTTAACGAGCCTGTCTCGCTAGATCAACAACGACAGTTTAGTGAGTTCGATCGTCACTGGGTGCTTATACGTTCGGCTTTGCACAACATCTAAGCTACGTTTAGAAAAACATTTTAACCACCTCGACGGGGTGTAATGGTTAGCAAACTTGTCTCGCTTGGTCAATTACGACTGAATAGTGAGTTCGATCCTCACTGGGTGCCCCATACATTCAGCCTTGTGCTATATCTAAGAAACGCTTAGAATAACATTTTAGGCTCCTCGACGGGGTGTAATGGTTAGTAAGCTTGCCTTGCTAGATCAATTATGACTGAATAGTGATTTCAATACACACTGGGTGCCCCATACGTTCGGCCTTGTCCCACATCTAAGCTACGCTTAGAAAATCATTTAGAGGCTTCTTCTAGATACTTCCAGAGGTATTGGTAGGGGAGGAGAAGTCCCCCCCCCACGGCGGATTAGATGCTGCGGTTGTAGTATGAGGTTCCTTGCCGGAGGCCTTCTCTTCTTTCCTTCCGTTCCACCCATCATTGTGTAACATCCGATACGTAACGATGGTATTACCGGCTATGACAAGCTCTGACGAGCTTAGACAAGCTATAAACAGCTAAGACCAGCTTAGACAAGCTTTGACCAGTTTAGATAAGCTTTGACCAGCTTAGACAAGCTAAAGCCATCTTAGACCAGCGGCCTGAATGGAAACACTCGGGTCCCTATGTTAAAAAAACCGACGTTGTGTCACAGCTTGACACTGGCTGGGGTTATGTTCAACCTCAGTTTATGGCATTGGTAATGATATTTGCAGTGATGACAAGGTCATCTGTATTCAATAATTCTCCACGTTTTTTTTTTTTGTTTTGTTTTTTTTCAGGATATCGACTTATTGTTTATTTTTCACTTATCGTCTTGAATATTCGAAAAAAAAAAACTTTAAAAACCTTGCGCTCTTCGGCAGTAAGTATATCTTTAATAAGATTTCTCGAACATTCAAGCCGGTATCTGAAAAAATTATATACTGTTTAATTTATAAACGGATCGCCTACTCAAATACGAATATCCACTAAAAATAACGTTTAAAGTAAGAAAATTTGTCGGATTCATTTTTAAAAAATCCATTCTGAAAATTCTCTTTGTTCATGTTTGGAGACGAATATATATACTTGCTTAAAAGCCGCCCTATCTGGCGGCAATTAGGCTAGCTCCTGCGGGGTGCTTTTGACTGGGCTTTCATCAAAATAGGTAGAGTGGAGTAGATGCGATAGGCATCAATAAACTACAGAGGAACTCACAAATTGATTGTTGTATTTAAGTATTGCATTAATGTTTAATCTTACCTTTTAAAAGGTCAACGATAATTCTTTTGTCGCCATTTTAATTTAAAGACGATTTGATGTACGTAGGTCCTTACTTTCCGTATAAACAATTATTTTTATTTCATGGGAGATTTTTCTGGATTTAGCAATTAATTTCGATTATTCACAAATTTATTTCCAAGTTATCAAAATTATTATGTACCGAAAGATTTGACGCGAAAATCAGGTAAAAAAAATGGCCGAAACTAATCGCAGTAATAAAAACTTGGGAATAAAAAAAAAATTATGATTGCTCGTCCAAATTCAGCCCTGAATGTTTTTAATTTGCTCATGGAGTGGGTCTGATTCCAAAATGGTATGATATTTTGGGCTACTGTCCCTAGGATTAAAGGTTGTAAAATGGTAACACAGCATTTAATACACACACACACACACACACACACACACACAAATATATATATATATATATATATATATATATATATATATATATTTGTGTGTGTGTGTGTCTGTGGCTGTGTGTGCCGGGAGTGACTGTTTACAAATTCAGATGTAGATAAATAAAATGTATCTGTAAATACTTATGGAAAAATCTTTACCAACGCGTTTCGTCCTCTGAGTGACTTTATGAAGGATAACGTATGAATTTTTCTAGCAAAATGTATTTAGGAACAGGTGTAAAAAATAGTCTTAAGTCGTCAATATTTTTTTTTATCTGAAGAACGCTCTGAATTATTCTTGAAGTCAACTATGTAAGTCAAGATAAACTGTGAAGTATATCAAGTGATGCCTAATGTGTTTATATATATATATATATATATATATATAGAGAGAGAGAGAGAGAGAGAGAGAGAAAGAGACAACGTGTGGTATATTTATGCGATAAAGTGCTCAATATCAGAGATAGAGCGCGTGTAAATATGAAATGAAATAAAAGTAAAATAAATTAACCCAACAAATAAATAAATAAGTCACTCCCGCAAAAATAACCGCCAGAATATATTACCCACAATGCACCACTGACCCATATATTTAAATAGCCGAGGAAAAATTCAGCATTCGCGGCCTGACGATTGCGTCCAGCATGAAACAGTTTGTTGCCTCTGAGCGTTGACTTTAATGTTCACTTATATATATATATATATATATATATATATATATATATATATATATATATATATATATATATTTGTATGCATTTACTATTTATGATACATTTACTATTTATAAATAAGTATTCATATATAAGTATATATAAGTATACTATATTTACGAGTAATTAAAGCATAGGTATAGCATAGCTGGCAACTCGTATTCAAGGATACTCATCTACTACGAGGAAATCCCTATTGCTGACGCTTGCTCAGGCATTTGACTTTATCCACCTTATACTGCAACTATGCTGGGTAGATCTAAGTTACAGTATCTGGGAAAGAGCGTATTATCTAGCGTGGTCAACAATTTGAACAAAGCCAGCATGTTCTAGGCCAGAGACCCACAAGCACAGCTAGCGACGGCCCCCAAGTGTTCCGTTTACAGAATTTCACTCAAAAGGCTTGGGTCAACCGGGGGTATGGTTTTCAGGAACTTTCAAAAGGTACCGCACACTGGGATCGACCCCTCCAGTCCGATAACATCAAGAATTTCTTTCTTGAAAAATCCACCATGGTGAGATTCGAACCCGGGTGTCATGGTCAGAATGTGAATATCCTAATCAGTTGCCATATCATTTAAATTATAGGTATTTATAGTATAATTAAGTATCTATAAATAAGTATTTATATTATGTATTTAATTATATCATGTTTAGTATTAGTGTAATTTATTATATATTATTTAAATTATATATATTCATATCTATACATATATATATATATTAATATATAAATATAAAATAAGAATATGTGAATGTATATAATAGTATGTGAAAAATATATATCAATATATATATATATATATATAAATACCTATATCTATCAAACAGAAGATATCTGCTTGTATGTCTGTGTGTGTTTGTGTGTGTGTGCGCGAGCGCGCGTGTAATACTATATATGCACGTCCACATTTCTCAACCGATTGCGATGAAATTATACACACATGTTACAAATTTACTAGTTTCGGTCAAGACCAACTTTTCAATCTCCCGACCTCTCGGGTTTGGCAGAAAAATCGATAAAAATGAAGGTGGAGTGGACTTTTTTGTAAAAACTAAGGCAGAGTTACACTCGAACAAAAAATCTCTGGCTGAGCTGATGTTCTTTGCACGTAATGTAAAACTTAACTCATGTTATGAGGTTTATGTAAAGATTGAGGAGGATTATTGAAGCGTTAAAAGTCGAAAAATAACCGAAGACCATCGCGTTAACCACTCCTTTACAGTAAACGTCCGAGGAAGAACGGGGCAAATCATGCGTTTGCACTTGCAGTTTAATCAAGCTCTGAAGCTTCATCCCTGTCTTTGTTTGATTTTCAGATTTGTGAACAACGCCATAGTATTTAAAAATTATTACGGCCATAGGAAATTTACTAAATAGCTAAAACATTGAAACAATAAATAAATTGTTTCAATGCCTTAGATATTCACTAAATTTCCCGAGCAATAACCACACACGGTTTTATCGATGGAATTTATTTACTAAGAACAATCAAACACTTGCCAAGGACATACCGTAAAAAAGATAAGAGGAGTGAGTAGCTTAGTATACCAATGGATGATGCATGCAAGCGAGGACAGCAGACAGTTATTTCTAGATATTTCTGTGATTATACAGGGAGTGGGGTGCAGTTATACAATTGCAGCCATGTCCATTCGAGCAAAGCCGGGTAACTCAGCTAGTATATATATATATATATATATATATATATATATTGTATAGCAATAAATTAAAAAATTACCCCATGTGGGTATAGTTTATTTCAGACAAGCACTACTGTACGCAAGTCCTCCGCAGCTCAAGGAAATGGTGCTTTTTGAATTTAGTTTAGATTGCCGTCGGAGAAAATGTATGGAGCCACGTAATTGGACGCCTCGTTTTGATAAGGAGTCTGGGTTGGGGACAAGTAGATGGGCCATGGTTGCGAGTTTATTTATGACCAAAGCCTTTAGTTGCGTACAAATTAATTTAGGATCTTGCTCGTGGATTTTATTATTAATTGATGGGGGATTTAACACACACACACACACACACATATATATATATATATATATATATATATATATATATATATATATATATATATATACACAAATATAGGTAACTATACTCGTTTCGAAAAACCCTCGAATTTTTGATTTGCCAGATAAATCAAATAAATCTCGAGGGAAAAAAAAGGTTTTTAAAAAAGAAAGAGCTAGAAACATGAAAGTCTGTCGAAAAAAATCGCACAGATACAGGTTTGAAGCCCAAAGAAAAAACCCCGATACGAGTAAACAACTAACTAACAAAAGAGCACAATACAACTGTAGAGCAGACCTAGATAAAACTAGTGAACCAGACAAATCTACCCAGGTTTCACCTAAGCGGATCGTCAGGGAAAGCCAGCTTTCCCTGACGATCCGCTTAGGCGAAACCTAGGTAGGTTTGTCTGGCTACTAGGTTTATTCTCTCTCTCTCTCTCTCTATATATATATATATATATATATATATATATATATATATATATATATATATATGTACGTAAAAAGTAATCAATAATTGCGAATTAACTCTCTTTCCTTTTACCAAAGTTACCTCTTGGTTGTTTTTTCCCGTTTTCGTTAATTTCCGTGAATTCCCGTCGAATTAAATTTTGACCATGTGACCATTAGGATGTAGGTTAGCTCATCGGTCTCCAACTACCTCCCCTACCCAGGCTCTTCTACCTCCGTAATATGATTCCAGTTACACAGCCATACCTCTAAGTCCGTCCCCTATAACATACCCTCTCTCTTTCTTTCTCCAAATAAACAGTACACTACAAATTGATACCATAGACAGTTTAACTGAAGGTATCTTAAATTCTATTGTAAAAACGTATATATATATATATATATATATAGTCTTGATCTTGCATCTCGGCTCCAGTCATTTTCTCACTGCCGTAAATTTGATTCCCCGTGTTTTTTCTATAAATACTTTCATGATAACTATTCGTGTGAGACTGTATTTTGAAGGCGAACGTAAGGCAAATATTGAACAAATTTTGTCTATAACTTTTGGGAGTAATACGATTTGTGAGTCTATGTCCAAACAGCAGTCAACAAAACAACTTCGAAAGAAAAGGAGGAAACTATGTATTAAGTGTATTTTTAAAATGGTTCTTTCCATGAAAGTGTAGTCAACAGAATAACGATCAATGAAATAGAAAACAAGTTTGTTTTAATTTCTCTGTAAGCCGCGTACCCTCAATATATAGGCGGTTATGACAATTTTCTATCACATGTGTGTGAAAACAGTTTTTTTTTTCCTTTTGCTAAGGCTCTTGCCACGACCCCTTTTCGGCATCCATTCGTCGAGCTTCTCGGGTAAGTGGTTTCGCTGTTTCCCTCCTTCCCTCCTATCTTTGTTGCCGTCAATATGTCCGGTGTGGGTTAAGTTTTCCAAGTTAATTTTTACCATGAATGATAGTAACGTCTGTCTGCGCAGTTATGACTAAACACGGTTGGATTTGCGCATGTATTAAAAAAAATGGTAGCCATGTTTAATAAATGAACCGAATTTTTTTAAAGTCTCGAAATGAATATTTTTACTCATTATGCGTCTAAGAAATTTCAGATGGCTTTTTGCTGATTCTGAATAGTATTTTTTTTCTGTTGCCATTTTCTTTAAGACTTCAATTTTACTTACACGCTCCGTTCATGGAATGTTCAGTAACATCATCATCATTTTTTTTTTAATTATATTCCTGCTCCCCGGCCCACCAGGAAAATATCAGTCTACGTCAAATAAAACTGTGAAATCTTTGTAAAATCTCTTCTGAACAATTATGCTATCTGTTGGCTATGAATTCCATGATGAGACGAAACGAAAAATGAACATTTTCTATCTGGATTTCTTAGATGAAGAATTATCGTGCTTTACCTAATTTCAAATCGGATATTTGTCCTCACCTGTGTTTGTTTTTTTTTTTCTTCCTTTTTTATACATTTTTTCCGGTTGTTGTGCCATTAAGCTTTCTTAAGCTACTTACTTTCAGGTAATTTCGAATTGCACCCTCTGCTTAATCTCTTATTGTTCTCGTTTCGCTATACACGTCTCGGGATATCTCGTCTAGTTCTTTTTATTACCGCTCAGTTATTACTTCCCGCCAATCGCTAGAGCTCGCAGTTAATATATCACCAAATATAAAAACTACAAAAATAAAGAAAGCAATCCGTGTGCAAATATTTTAACCAGAAACGTAGATTATTGCGCCCAACGATATTAAAAAAAGAAAAGAAAAATGTCGGCCTTCAGCCCAGAGATCGCTATAACCTTGATGAAGCATGGTGGCAAGAATGTATTGCTCTGGAGATGTTTTTTTAATTAATGGACATGTTAAAGCCTGTAAAAGTGGTTGGCAACAGAAGATAAAAAAGAGTAAGCTAAGAAAGAAAATGAAGGAAGATAAAAAAATCAACAAAACGCCAGAGCCATTGTCCAAGGACGATGTATTTGAACATGTGAAAATGTGGTTATGTTTACACTGAAATCTAAAAGGTATTTAACAGGCACGCTTTACACCTGCGTCAAATCGGTAGACATGTCCGGTTTACGCTAGAATTAAAAACATTGAGTTAGGTCCACTCTATACTCGAGTCAAAAAACGTAGACATAGGTTCAAATTAATCAAATGTCAAAAAGGTAGACAAAGATACTGTTTACACTTGAATCAAACAGGGGACATATGTCAAGTTTAAACCAATGTCAAGAAAGCAGACATAAACCCTTGTGCGAATTAATTTAAAAAAAAAAACCGCTTTAGTTTCCTTCTTTTCAAAATACGGTCAGTTTTAGACCCACTGGAGTAACAGGGTGTAATCGATTTTTATTTTTTCTTCAGATGATGCCATATGCTGTGGTGTATGATGTAATTTGTTTGGCCTTGGAAAATATTGCGTCATCCGTGATTGCATCAGATTTTCATCACACCCAGACACTGTTGTTTCGACTGTTGATTAGTTGTCCAACGGCCATTGTCTATGATGGACGTTACTTCAAGTAAGCGTACGAAAATTATAACTCTGCGCGAACACATTGGCAAGCCTTACGAGTGAGCAAATCAAAGTACTAGAGACTGACCTGGAAACTCTCCTGATTTAAATCCAATCGAGAATCTGTGGTCAGTTTGGAAGGAATGATTTTGTGGAATGGACATACGAAGTACTAACATGGGAACTGGGTCATGTTTAGTACTTCGTATATCCACTACACGAAGTAGTTCCCTGCAGATTGACAACAGATTCTCGGTTGGATTTAAATCAGGAAAGTTTCTGGGGCAATCTATAGTATTTTGATTTGCTCAGTGGTAAGGCTTGCCATTGTGTTCGTGCAGTGTTACAAGTTTTGTACGCTCTCTTGGAGTAATGTCCATCGCAGACGATGGCCGTAGGACAACTAATCGACAGTCTGGGCGTGATAAAAATTTGATGCAATCACGCATGTCGCAATATTTTTCAAGGCCAAACAACTTTCATCATAGACCGCAAAAATAGATTCATATTACTGCACACCACTGCCAATGACCTAATCTAAGGAAATAATAGAAATCGATTACACCCTGTCACTCGAGTGGGTCTCAAACAACGGTAAGGTGAAAGAAAGGAAACTAAAGTAGTTGCTTCAATTAATTGGCACAAGGGTGTATGTCTGTTTTGCGCTGTCGTCAAAAAGGTTGTCTGAGGTTTGGTTTATGCCTTGGTCTTCAAGTGTCCATTTAAATGATGCTGATTACCATTCTGCAAGTGAAGGAATGTCTGCGGAGTCTGTGTAGCGTCGACAACGCCATGAAATGTTGCGTCGTAGAAAAGCTGAGATGTTAATAGCTTATGAATAATTAAAATACACCGCTTGGAGGACATAACATGTTGGTTTCAGGTCAGATTTATGACATGTCAGCTCTTATGAGGATTGAAGAGAAAATAAAAGCTTTTGGGGTTAATTACGAAAAGGAATATCGCTATGGTTGGAAAAGACATTTTTTCAAAAGCTAATGAAAACTGGAAACTTCCTCAGATATCTCAAACATTATGTCGTATAGTCGAGCTCCAAAATATTACGCAAGTGGAGTGTAATATATATATATATATATATATATATATATATAATGAAATGAACAGAGTGCGACAATTATTTTAAGATATTTTTATGTTTATCCATTCTTTTTATAGATACAAATATTTAAGTAAATACTCTTTTTATAATAAACAGTATTAACAACTTTTACCGGCCTGAATGTCCGTGAAATTGTCATAGAAAATATAAGTCCTCCGACAGGAATCGAACCTGTATCTTATACGGAACCGTCATATAGCCTGGCGTGCTTTTACTGATTAAGCCACAGAGGAGCGTCTCGGTGAGCAAGGTCGATTTTAGTGTTTTTAAACTACAATTTTCCATGATTTTCTCTCGTATATTCATATCTGCTCGATGCGTATCCAAATGTAAACAAATGACGTCATATATTATGAAATGTACAAAGTCCGAGAATTGTTTTAAAACATAAACATATGTGAACAGTGTAGGACTGGTCATATATGCACATATATGTGTGGTTGCGCACATACGTATGTGCGCAACCACACATAAAAGTATGAGTGGCGTACCAACGACAATTTTCCCTCACACTTCCGCCGATAAACACAACCATATATAAATCCAAAATTTAAAAATTAAACAGTTTGTCTGACGATCGCAAATAGCGTGAAACCCAGGATCACAAACTCACATCAATCCAACTAAATATGTTAGCTCTATCATTGACATTGAGCGCTTTACAATAAGTTCCGTGCCTATATCACATATAAATAATATATATAAAAAATTGCATATATATATATATATATACGCTGAGAACCTATCTCTTACATTGCACAACGTTTGCGCCAAGTTTGGTCAAAATCGATTGGATGGATCTCAAGTGAAAAGGTATCACACAGACAGACACACAGACACATATACATCCTCCGTTTTATATATATATAGATATATCTGTACATTATTTACATTATTCGGACTATTGTCCTCATCTTTGTTGTTATTTATTACAACGTTTCCGCCCGTTTACGCTCCGGCCTTCTTCAGGTAGTTGAAATGTCGAACTGGACCCTTTATTTCGCTCATTGGGGTAGACTGTTCAAGTTCCACGTGTCATGTTTAATAAAGGGTTCAGTTCGACATTCCAACCACCTAAAGAAGGCCGGAGCGTACAAAGGCCGAAACGTTGTAATAAATATTGTGACAAAGATGAGGACAATAGTCCGAATAATGTAAATAGTGTACCTAATACCTCATCTCAGAAATATAGACAGATACTGAAAGGCCGAAACGTTGTGATAAATATGGCGACAAAGATGAGGACAATAGTCCGAATAATGTAAATAGTGTACCTAATACCTCATCTCAGAAATATAGACAGATACTGAAAGGCCGAAACGTTGTGATAAATATGGCGACAAAGATGAGGACAATAGTCCGAATAATGTAAATAGTGTACATAATACCTCATCTCAGAAATATAGACAGATACTGAAGGGCCGAAACGTTGTAATAAATATGGCGACAAAGATGAGGACAATAGTCCGAATAATATAAATAGTGTACATAATAGCTCATCTCAGAAATATAGACAGATACTGAAATGCCGAAATGTTGTAATAAATATGGCGACAAAGATGAGGACAATAGTCCGAATAATGTAAATAGTGTACATAATACCTCATCTCAGAAATATAGACAGAGATATATCTGTGTGTGTGTTTTATAGCACTGATTAAATTTTGGTCCACCCAATAAAGCTCTTTAAAACGTATGCATATTATTTGTCATTTTTCAAAACTCTTATAGATTTTTTTCTGCCTTATTTCAGGAATACATGGCCGAAAACAAATACGTCCATCGAGATCTTGCCGCCCGGAATGTTTTACTTGACTGCGGAAAAGTGGTCAAAGTTTGTGACTTCGGCCTCTCCCGAGATATATATAAGGACAACCAATACCACGAGTAAACAACTAACTAAAAAGAGATCAATACAACCGTAGAGCAAACATAGGTAAACCTAGGAGTTAGACAATTTACCCAGGTTTCACCTAAGCGGATCGTCAATGAAAGCCAGCTTCCCCTGACGATCCGCTTAGGTGAAACCTGATAGGTTTGTTGGGTCACTAGGTTTATATATATATATATATATATATATATATATATATATATATATATATATATATATCATTAATGCATAATATAGACAAATGCTTCATTAAATAATATAGACAAGTTTTGTCAATTTATTTTAAGTAAATTCCTTTCATATTGTCGAATAAGCTTTTTAGCATTATTACTGAAACACGTAAGAAAATCACTATGTTGATACATGTTTTTATTATTAATCCTGTCTAACCTTTCGGCTTGCATAAGCCATTATCATTGCAACATGTAAACAAAGCAAACTTTCATTGTTGCAATGTCCGCATGACTATTCTAAAACAAAAAAAATTCCCATCTTTGTTATATAATTTATTATTTAATTTATTCTAATGTACTTGTAATCTCTGATGATGGCTTTTGTAAGCCGAAAACTTAGACAGGATTAACAATAAAAACATGTATCAACATGGTGATTTTCTATCGTGTTTCAGTGATAATGCTAAAAAGCTTATTCCACAACATGAAATGAATTTACTTAATATATATATATATATATATATATATATATTCGTGTGTGTGTGTATGTATCATTTGTCGTTCATTTAAAGCTGAAATATATTTAGGATTCTAAGAATAATTCTTTATTTTTTGTGAGCCAATATTGCTCTTAAATTTTTGTGTTTACAGTGACAATGATTTCTCCGGGTACACTTTCTACTATTTAACCCATACATGGGAGGAGGAGATTTTGAGTCCCCGTTTTCCCGTGGGTATTTGAGCGTAATTGAATGTGACGAACCCGTCTTGAATTCGGATCTATTCCGAGCTGCTATCGATTACCCCACTTATATATCCGGAACTCTGACGGATATCGAACAGCTGGATAAAAATGGGGTTAATTTAACAGCTTTATTCGATCGGTATTGTCTTGGATAACAAAACAAGGAAATATGGATGTTGGAAACGGAAAAGAATGAATGGCATTGCAATATGTTTATGAATATTTATTGGGGCCCTAAGTTGTTGAGATTCTATCGTTACGGAGTATCGGTTTTCTTTTTTGATTTTTGTTCTTTGTTTTTTCCAGCAGATATCCTACAGCCGAATCCTCTCAAATCAACGCAAAACACTTAATGCTGCACCACA